CTCGCTGTTCTTCCTGCAATTGTAGTTTGTGAAATTTCCCTCCATCATTACATAAATCCTTTTTATTCGAATGGGGTTTTCTTCTTTATAGTAATAGTGCTCTGATTTCGTAGTTGATTAGTTTTCCAAAAATCTTCTATTGTGCATTAACTGTGTGGCTACTGCATAAGACATCATAAAGGATACCGAGGTCAGCTAGACCGGGTTCTTGCACTTGAGACGCCCAGTTTAATGTAGGAGAAACATAGGCAATGTTAGAAGCACTGTAGGGGTTGCTGAGCTTTGAGATTACCTGATAAGAACTAAATAAATACAGATCTTCCTTCCTAGATATCCATCATAAATTGAAAATATCATTAAATCGAAAATGAATTTAATACACCTAACTTACTGAACATCAAAGCTTAGCCTAGTGTAGGTTAAACGTGCTCAGAACACTTACATTAGCTTACCGTTGGGCAAAGTCATATAACACAAAGCTTATTTTATAATAAAGTGTGGAACACATAATGTAATTTATTGAATACTATGCTAAAGGGGAAAACAGAGGTTGTATGGGTTGTGTGCATACAAGATGGTTGTAAGTGTTTTGGACGTTTGCCCCCGTGATCACGTGGTTGACTGGCATTGTAAAGTCGAAAAATCTAAGTTGGAGACTGTGTGTCTGCATTTCAGTGGTATCTAGTAAGGCCAGAGGAGACCGCAAGGAAGAGGTGATAGTTGATATAGACCTTGAAAGATGAGTCTGCAAAGAAGAGGAGGAAGAAGAGGAGAAGGTGTTCCAAATAGGAAAATAGCACAAAGATACAGGAACTGATGATGTGTACATGGGGAGCAGTGAGTGTCATAAGAGCAAATGCAAATTAAAAACCAGATACTTAATTCTCCTTGTTGAAAATAAGGGAAGAGGCTTCTCCCCACTTCTCTTATTTCTTTCAAAATTTCTTTCTAGGTCCCTTTCCTTTGTACGTATATATTTCTATTGGCTAAATAAGTCTCCCAGTAGTCTCAAAACTCGAAAATGTTTCCTCAAGGACCTGGAACCACCTCCTTGAAATGCAAACATCAAGGGAGCTAGAGCCCCATCTCTCAGCTCCTGTATGAGTTTAAGAGCCTAACTTCCCTGGGCGTCTTGCTCTAATTTGCAAAACTATCTCCCATGGTAAAGATATACGTTTATTTCTCTCTATGGGTAAAGTCAACACGGGTGGTCTCCCCAGTTGTGATGGTAAAGTTAGGACAAACTATGAATGACAAAAGGTGCAGTCACATTCTCTGACTTGAGGACTAGCTACTGTTGATCTTGAAAATCCATCTGAAATGGGTTGTATCTGTTTGACTCTCTAAGGGGGTGAGAGTCCTTTCTGTCTCTGCAGTCACTTAGTGGGTTACCTCTGATACTCCTCCCCTTCCAGTTTAACATTTATTCAATAATAAAAATGTTTTCTTTCATGACTACCATTGTGGAGAGGATTTGGGGGTTGGAGGAAGATCTCAGTTTTAAACTTCCCCAGCCAGGGTTTGGTTCGTCTGGGGTGTACAGGTCACAGAGGCAGAGGCAGAGATGATGCTACAGGACGAGTGTAAGGCCGGAGCACAGAAGAGCCCTGCGTGAGCGTGTCAGCTTTACTCCGCGGGCAGTGAGGAGCTCTGGAAGATTCTTAGAGAAATGAAGTCATGTTCAACCTTAGAAAAATGACTCCGGCGGTAATGTGGAGGGTGGACTGAAAGGAAGAATGGTCAAGTGTCACAGCCCTGAATGTGGACACAGTGATTTTTAAATGCTGTTTAAGGGTTTTCTTAGTCTGTTATTACTCAAAGGTTATTCTTGGACTGACCTTTCCCTGAGCCTCCTAACAATACCTGGATTTGTATATTTGTACTTTTACCACAGGGACATTACTCTAGGAAGCGGCAACAATAGTGGGTGTAGCTTGCATGTCTAATGCTCCTTGGCCACTTTTTTCTGAGTGGTTTGGGTACTCCTCTGGCCCCACAGTCTCATCCCAATGAGTCTTGAGGCCCCAAGAACATTCAGGATCTAGAATATCTCTGATGGTTTCTATCATGAGAAAGGAGTTGCTTATTACAGGGGTCTGTCCCATTGGTGGGTGATCAGTTTATGGTAAACACTTGCTTGATACTCAGTGAGGTCCTGTACACCAGCCAAGCTGAGGTGCGACTGTTAGTGCAAATGCCTTATTTACTGGCAGCCCCAACTGGAAGCCCCAAGTTGTGACCACCGATTGCCTGGATTCATGTGGGTTCAGGCTTTCCTAGTATAACAACCCATGAATGGATTTCTTTAAGATGGGACTTTGTAACTAGAAACTGAGAACCAAAGACACTCTGAATGAACTACATACACATTTATTAAATAGTTAACAAAGGCACATCAATAACCACGTACAATATTTATATATGTAATTAACACAGATAGGATTCTCTCTTTACTGTCAATTTCCCCAACAAAGAATTGTTCAACTCTTCAGGTCATGAAGGCAAAAGGCAAAGTCTCAGTCCTGACCCTATTCTTCTCCACCCTCTTCTTGAGAACTACGTTGATCCTTGATGGGTTGACCACCATTTTCTGTAGCCACGTCTCTAGAAGCATGCTGCGTGCAAGGACTCCTGATTCCCTCTGCGTTCTCTCAGGTCCAGTTAAGGCACAGGCTGTCTGTGTTCGCAGGCGCTGTTGCTGCTGCTTGTTGCTGTTTATCCAGTTACTGTATAATTTTTCAGCAATGTCTCTCTCTGCACGTGTTCACAGATGTCATGTGCTGAATTATTTATGGGGAAAAACCTCCCTCTCTGTCATCAGGAAAATCTGATTTTCTTTTTCCCTGCTTCTGTCTATTTTGCCCCAAGTATCCTGCCTGCCTCTGCACTGCGCTCTTTTCACCTTTTCATGCACAACATAAAAATGCTGGGCTGCCCAGAACTTCCTTCTTCTACCGATTCCCGCACCCTCTCTGGAATGCTGTGCTTTTGATCGGGGCGCCTATTTGAAAGGACAGGAGTCAAATCTCCTGTTCCTCTCACAGACCTCACCCTTCTGTCCAGGCGGCCACCCCTTCTATGAAAAGCTCTTGGCTTTTATTCCCCGGACTCCTGCTGTCCTCCTGCTTAAGGGAGACGTGCAAGTCCAGGCACCGAAAGGAAAATCTGGGAGGGCTCGGTTCAGTGGGCACTTCTAGTCCAGGAAAGAGTCAAGTAAGAAGTCGCAGGGCATGCGTCCATCTGCTGGATATTAGCAAGTGTTGGCGTGGGGCTGCTCGCGAAATGGGACCATTTGTCAGGCCCATCACTGTGCCATGCCCTCTACCACAGGTGCTGACAACATGGGTGGACTCAGGTCTGTGGAATCTCAGGGTGTTCACTATCTAGTCAGTGTTTTAGGCTCACTATTACGAGAACTTTCCTGACCATAACAAAATGACAAGCATTCCTTCTGGGGCTTTCCTGAGGTAGTGAACGCCTATACTGCCCATCCATAGGAATTTGGTTGCTGGTTCAATGCTGTGACTCCAATGCCTAGATGATGTAAAACATGTCTTCCTCATCTACACATGTGGCCATCTGATATTCCCCCACTGGAGAGTTGTGCCTTTTTAAATATAAACACTCCCAGGAGGGGCAGCCCATTAAGCACTGGCAGTCTCTAACAAACACCAGTGCGATCTGTCTCCTAGAGCTCAGTTATGAGCTGCCCTCCGTAGCCTCAGATGCTCAACAGGAAAGTTCTGAAGGAAAAACAAACCTACCTGGGGCGGCAGTTCTGATAAGTTGCACCCATGGGGCTTCTAGAAGGCAAGAGGCCACCATGGGGGATGAGAAAAGGAAGGACTTAAAAATATATTGGGAAAAGGTTGAAATGTGCAAAGCGTTTTGCCTGTGGGTCAGCTTTCTCCTGGCCAACAGAAACTTTATTTTGCTGATGGTTCAGAACGCCTGGCCTGAATTCTTCCCTATCATTCAGCAGCTTCAAAGAGACATTAGCTGAATTCTTCGGAGGCCAAAGACCTCTTGTAAATTTCTGTATAGTGAACTGGTTTTAGTGCTGGAATTATCAGTCACAGAAACATATACAGCACATCAAAGGGCTCAAAGTTGGCTTATCAAGAAATGCCATAGTGGGAACCACATTTAGAAATAGTAAACTGGGACCCAAGGGGGAGAGGAGCCAGTAGCTCTGTGTGATTCAGCTGATACAGGACCAGGAACCAACCTCTTTCCTGGGCCTTGTCACTGTTGCAGACACATGACTACTACTTTGCTCTGCCACAGCATCTCATCCAAAGCCTCTTCACCTCGGTTTTCCATCACCCCGCTGACTAAATGGTGGCGATGTGGCGAAGTTCCTTATTCGTGTTTCTAAGGATTTAGAAATCTGACAGAATAAAGTGTTCCCAAGTAACATTTTGCTTTCTTTAAAGAACGAAAATGAGTATCCTTTCATTTCTGTGCCATTGGTTGGCGAAAACCAATTTTAAGGGAGAGAAAAACGTTTTCATGTAAAAATTCATACAGCCCATTGCTACGAAACCACCAATGCCCATCTTGAAAAGAATGAAATAAATGACACTGGTTTCATTTGTTACACTGAGGATGCAGGCTGGAAACGAGCAACAGGAAAATAGAAACTTCTAATAATGTAACTTAGAACATGCCTCAGAATTTCTGAAGCACAACAGAAACCAGTAAGCATTACCTGAAAAATGTTAGTGTTCTCTTGTCAGATACAACTGTGTCTTTCTTGTGTTAGTGACATCAATCGTATAGGAATAATACACCTAACACAATGGATGCATTAGCTAGACAATTCAAAATACTGAAGGTATATATTTGGAAATTTATTCTATATATGAAATATAGCATTGAAACAAGTCAGATTTAAATTTTATATGAGAATTACCAAATATTAGGATTAATATACTAGAAGACAAATCATTTGAAGTGAACTAATGTGTGAATATGGATTCATAAAAAAAGACAACAAAGAAGTTTACACATTTTATTAAAAGAACAAAAAATAAACATAGAAAGAGCATACTAAAATGAATCACATAATGCACATGTCTAAACACAAACAAGCAGTACAGGACTATAACTTGGGGAAAAAAACCAAATCAAAGCATCTGCCTTATTTGATAGCAGTCGAGAGACTGAGCTATTGCATTCTGGAAGCAAAATATTATAGGAACAGTTCATATTTATGAAATATTGTCATCATTATTTAAATCTATCATTGTTACACAGGACTAAAATTTTTCTTATTCATAAGTATTTTTAAATTGACATTTTCTGCCCAAAATATGTTCTTCCATTTCCTACGTTATACTGGATTGTTGTTCTGTAAATGCATAAAGTTAGCCCTTTAAAAAAAGACTATACTTAGGAGCATCTTTTTTTTATCTTAATTTAAATTATTGTAATTTTGGGGCATGTAACAAATGGATCATTTTTCTAATAATTAAAGCAACAACAACAATAATAGGAAATTTATTCTGAAAAGGGCAACCCCAGAATCCAATGATAGAATGATCGTGGAATTCTCTCAACTGCTAGACACAAAAGACATAGCAACAGCATAATTTGGTTTCCATCATTAACAGATAAGCATTTGCATACAGAAATAAAGCTTTGAAATCATGCAAGTCTATGACAGATAAATCTTTAGGTTGTGTGATTGGGGAGAAATGAGCACTGCTTAAAGTTAGGTTACTCTGAGGTCTTGTAACAGAGGTGTTTTTTTAAAAAAAAAATTAAAGTAATATGATGTAGCTGTGACGTATTTCACAGTGATACATGTTTTTCCTTTTAGGTGTGTGGCTTATAGATTCACAAGGAAATGTCAACACAAGAACATGGGTTAAGGTGGGAAACTACATTGGTGACAAGGTTACAACTCGAATTTCTGACTACAGAATGAATGCATGCTTACATCTTATATCAGTGTAAATGCTGGTCAGATGGTCAGGCTGTTAGATGTATGGTGAACTGTAAGTGAGTGTAGGCTGAAGGGGAAAAAAAGACATTTCTAACCAACTGGCCCTGAGCTATTGTACAACTGTAATTGTAAGGCTTGGATTGCTTTCTGGCTTTGGTTTACTTTCCTTTCTCTGTAAGTGAGAACTCTCCAAATGTGTAGCAATACTAATACCAGTTCCCTCCGTCCCAAGACGGGCTCCTTCTCCAGGGTAAGGGCGACAGGTCTCAAGATAGAAAGGATTCAAAGTCTGTATGGTGATCTGACCTAAAACCTTTCTAAGTTTGACCTTTTCTAGGCCTCATTGCCTGGAGGCAACAAAAAGATAAATGGTGATCTGTTGGTGACTTGGGGGCTGAAATTGGCAGAGATGGTCTGATTAAAACATTCATTTCCAGCTCCAGTGTGTGTAAGATTTTGGCCGGTAATCTTCTGTTTAGTTAAAACAGCAGGAGGCTGAAATGACACAGTGAAGCACTGTCTAATCTGGTAAAGGTAAATCAGAAAACAGCTTGCACTGAACAAGTATAAAGTAAGTAAAGCCATATATAAAACTGTGCCAGGAGCGTTTTTTTCCCTTGTTGAAGAGAATGAAATGCTCCATGCTGGCCATGCTAACTGTTACATTACATCTTTCAAGGGTTGCCAACTTGGTTTTGGATTCTGAATCCTGAAGGGGAAATAATGGTGAATGTTAACAGTCTGTCACTTAAATACATATTCATTGATATAACAGATATTTATCAATTGATAATTTTCAGTAAAAGATGAAATCAAACTTGATCCCAATGGGAATATCCAGCCTGCAATTTACAGGGTATTCCACTGCTTGTAACCATTGAAATAAGAAAACCTCAGCCAGAAACCTGCCTTGTGTGTGTGTGTGTGTGTGTGTGTGTGTGTACGTGTGTACGTGTACGTGTACAGTGAGGCTTAATTTAAAAAACCAAACGATCTTTGCTAGCAGTCTTGCTAAAAGATGAAGTACCTTTACTTTTGCTCAGGGCTGTTAGCTGAAGTTGACCTGTTACCTGTAACCAGTCTTCTCTCACGGTGAGCTGTAGCAAACTAGAAAGCCTCCACAACAGCAAAGCAACATCATGCTTTAGTTACGTCTTGTAGCGACAAAAAAAAAAAAACAAAAAAACAAACAAACCCTTCTTCTCAAAGCCTTAGAAATAACTCTCTCTTACTAACTTTCCCACTATTATCACAGACTTCTTATATTTAAAAGAAAAAGCTCCAAGGATTGCTTTCATGGACTATGTACATAAGTGCAAAAAAGGTGTGTCTCACACGGTCGCACCCTAACTGAGACCATCAGTTAATTGCAGCATATGTCTCTTCAACACTGTTATGGGGTCATTCCACAGCATCTGTATGTATGGTTTCCAGAATATGAATTCATTTTAATCTATGCTTTTGTTGGCTTTTAATCCTCATTTGGATATATTTGTATAAGTATATAATTCCATAAAAATTTTTGTAGCTACAGTTATGTCACTTGTATAGAATAATTTTCAGTCAAGTTATGAAAGAGATTTAGTTGTATTACAAATACAACAATTGTGTTTTGTTTGTTTGTTTGTTTAGTGGAGGTACTGGGGCTTGAACCCAGGACCTCGTGCATGCTAAGCATGAGCTCTACCACTGAGCTATATACTCACCTCTGCTCAGTAATTGTTTTGAAATCTAAATTCTGTGGAATAACCCTCTCCACACAATTCTATCAGCTATAAAGCCTGATTCTAGAATCCACATGCTGTAAACTTTTTGCTCTAAAAGTCACACAAGGACACAAATTCAGCTTTCACATGGGAATTTGGGATTAGAAAAAAAATCACCCATATCTGTTTTCTGAGCTTTGAGCTGTACTGTCTACCGGCTCATACTGTCAAAAGCCATGTATCGTTTACAAGTAAAATTTTCACACACACACACACAAAAAAAAAATGTCTAAAGGTAGCCATGTTGTAGATTTGTTGCTAAAGCAACGACTAAATATATAATTAGTTAAAAATTATTATTTGTATATAAAGTTAAGTTTGTTCTTAAACTGTGAACTGTAAAGAATAGGTATGAACTATATATCTTGTCCTGCTTCATTCAGTGTCAGTTTAGGACCTATCCAGGCGGGTTGAATACATGTAGTAAAACCTTAAACTTTCTCTAACGCTCCTTCAAAATTAAATTCACTAGTTAATTAAAGATATGAAAAAGGAATAAAATAAAAACCTTAACTAACAAGAAAATGGAAAACATGGCACCAATTAGCGAACTGGTGCTCAGAACGTCTATTCGCAATTATATTTACAGTTTGACTATGCTAGCAACTAAACTTGCTAAAAAAAAGTTGTTATACTCTTTTATATAGTGTTTATTTCTTTTGAGAGGCACTGGTAAAATTAATAGGCCACTATCCTCCTAAATCTAGCCAACAGAATTGGGAAATCACATTCCCCTGTTTCTATTTCAATGTGTGTAAAATGTAGAAGAGATAGAAAGAAAGAGCATTCCAGTTTCTATTCATTTTAAGCATCACAGCCTACCCTACAGACTAAAATAACTTGAAAACCTGTGGCTGCATTTTACCTAAGAGCATCTTCATCTACTCTCCAAGGAGTGGGGAGGACCAAATGACATTCCAAGTAGCACATGGGCCTTCCCTACATACTATTTGATAAAATTTAATGCCAATGTTGTCCTTACTCAGACGTCACTACGCTCACTGGTCATGCCATTAAAAAGAGACTCATGTTGTAAAGATTAATTTGATTTGGTTCCTGTTGATGGTAGGGTGGAGGTACCTGCTTTTTCTGAAATGGAGAGCTGGTGAGCTGAGGCTGCCCATTCATGAACACAGCCTCATGGTGTAGGACAACACTTACGGCAAGATCAAAGTGCTTTTTAGCATGTTCAAAAATGGATGGAAAAGACTGATGGAGTAGGAAGAAGATGGCTCTTGACATCACAACTGACTACAAATAAAATTCTAGACAAGTGAAATGAAATGCAACAGCAAGTTGCGGCATCATGCTCCAATTACAAAAGCAAATACTGTGTCTAGCAATTTTATGAATCCATTTGATTTTAATTCCCCTTTAAAATATACTTATGGTCACACAGTGCTCTTACAAATTTTTGACACTACTAAAACCCTCTTTCTTTGAAGAAAACTTTTAGATTATTTTCTCTGTATACATGAACTGTTTTATCCAAGTCTCAGCACGCTTGCCTATTTTTGCAAAAGGCTGAGAGAAATGGACAAAAAACATGAATTTTGGATAAATAAAATAGAGGCCCTTGTAGATTACAAAGCTTATAAAATGTTAACTAAGAATCACAAGTGATTAGAATTTTATATATACACTTCATCCAGTAAATTATTGTTTAGAGTCACTGATTAGTTTTGTGACTTGTCTTTTTAACTGAAAAGTTAATCTCATGACTTATCTTTCTTCTTCTCTTTTCTTGAATAAAGATACTTTGAATAAGTCATTGCACAACTAGTTTAAAGAGTGCTATCTCAAAATTACATTTCATCAAAATTCTTTAGCATCTGATCAAAACGTTAGTGCTTTGAGTTTTCTTTCTTTAAATTCACAAAGTAACTTCAAAATGCCAACAATATCAAAAATTGTGGCACCAAAAAATACAACTACCCTGAATCTCCTCACTGAAACTCTTACTAAAAAATACATCATTATTCATGTCTTCTAGTACTGAAAGCAACTTGCAAACAGCTGACCTCGAGGTATTTTTTAGTCTACGTATATCTTCGTCAGAAGTTTAAAAAGTTCAGTGAGACAGTGTGTTGCATCAGAATGTCAAACAACACCAAAAAAGTTCATTTTTCACTGAAAATGTCTCTGTCTCTTTTAAGGAATACATCCAGAGTAGCGCAGGTACACCCTTTCTGGATTCATGTGGTCAAGCTGCCCTTCTAGAGAGGCACTGGCACAAGTTTGACAAAACCAGTTCTAAACACAAGTTATTTCACAAAGGCATATTCTTCTCTAGCAAAGTTAAGATTTTAAGAAACAGAAATTAAGTGGTTCAAAGAACCAACGGGTAAAAATCAAGACACTCTTGTTCTCTAACTCCAGGCAATACTGTTAGCAGATGACAATGGCTCGATCCAAGCAAGATCATTTGGAAATCACTGATGATCATGATTTGGAGGGGAGAATTCAGATCAACAGGCTATCAGTTACCCAAGAGCTAATTTCGCTCTTCTGCACTGAGCCAAAATGGTCTGCTCTGGGATGGAGTCACAAACGTTCTAAAGCACAAACTATAGGAAGCGGAGGATCAGCCAGGAGTCAGGAGATGTTTCTGGGTCCAGCTGCTACCAAGTAGCTAGGTCGCCCTGGGCAGGTCACCATGCCCTGGCTGTGAAAAGGTTTTGCTAACTCTCTTATTCTGTGATTCAAACACTACTAGCTAGCTTAGGGTATCCTAAATCAAACTGTCCCTTTGCCTGTCATTTTCATGAAGGAGAAAATAAACTTGTTATACACAACAAATTTGAGGATTTTTTACTTTTCAGTGAGAGGACATATATTTAGTAGAAAACAGTAAACTATCTAAATTGATGCAAAATATCATAAAGCTCTACCACTATATAATAACAGTAAGTTTCACAACTGAGTACGGTGGAGGAGGTATACGACATAGCATAGGAATGAATGACTGTTTTACTTCGTTATACAACGAGTTCATAAGTATTAGTAATATGAGTTCAGTTCAGTTCTGTGGCCTGTGGCCACTCGGTCTCATCCAAAGGTTGCCAAAAATCTCTATTCCTCTCTATTATCATTTTCAAATACATATAAAAACAAAAAAATCCAAACAAAAGAGAGGCTTGGTTATACTATGAGAGATTCTGTTGTTAATGAAGTTTGGGATGGGCAACATTTAACATATATCACAGGCGCTTGCTCCTTCACTTAAGCGACTGACAAAACTGGAAACTCAGTTGAACTGAAGCTGAAGATGCCTGTGGACATCCTTCCTAGAACTTTTACATAAATCAAAGTAATTTCAATTATCTCCCTACCTCCCTCCTCAGCCCCGCCATCTCTCCAAACCTATACTCAGGCTCCAACTGTGATCAACGGAAAAGATTGTCCATTTGGGGAGGAAAGGCCCCACCTGGAGCCAATTCTCTTTCACCCTGACTGAACTATTCCAGATTGCATCTTATTATTCAAAGAGTAGCCTAAAGAGCACAAGCCATTTGCATTCGGAAAATGGCACTTGTATCATAGGTTACATTGCAATGGTTTTTACATACTTTCCTCCAATATGTAAGAACTCTCTCCACGCCCCCATCTCTCTGCTTAATTTATAACCTGTAATTAGAATACCTTTAAGCTTCCAAGAACCAATTTTTCAGCTGAAGATTACAAATGGCTCAGTTTTAGACACTCTACCTAGAAGACAGGATCCTTGAGCCATAGAAAATGTAATGGGCACTTTCCATAGTTTTTAGTATAAATGCTGAGAAATGCATTTAAAGGTAAATTCTAGTTTTTCAAGCTATTTAAGGAGTGAAATTAGGGTTAATGTTTTAAGAAATTCCCGGTGTTTTTTGTCAGGTAATTATTTCTCTCTCACCAAAAAAAACCAAAAATCTAGTAACGTGATTGTATTATGCAAGGTCAGATCTACAGGCACAAATTATACACATGCATGTTTATGATCACATTTCGGACACACTCAAAAGTGAGGCCTTTTAAATGTCTGCCTCAAGAAACTTACAGAAGTATTACAAAGAGAGAGTGAGCATATTAACATTAGCCTGTTAGGTTTTTCAAGCACATGTGTTTCTGTTTCCCACTAATAACATTTTAGTTGAAATCAAACACCACACATTATAGCAAAACACTATATAGTATGTTAAAAACCTAACACAACACACCACGGTACAATACAATAATGGGGAAACTGGTATTGGATCTATTTGTTACATTCTGAATCAGCCCAATAGACTACTGTGTAAACAAAACAGTAAGGTAACACTTCAAAACGGACATTTATCCACCAAGAACGCACAGTAAGTTGACAGTCCACTGTAGACATCCACTCAGCATAATCGTTATTGGGAAATCACAAAGAATAGTGTGATGAATTACAAAATTTTATGGTGTTCTACCTAATAATTCAAATAAGAGAGAGAGATGTTAGTTATTAGTTTTCTATTTGTGTTTTAACATCTCCTTGATTGTTTAATGCTTTATTTTGTATTTGAATTTGTTGGTTGGTATGTTTGTTTTGTTTAAGATATTGACTGCACCACACTTATTGTTGTGTTGGTGGAAGAGGACATACGTGTATATATATAAAAAGGCCATATGGAGGTTCTCACGGAGAGATTCTGATACTCTGTAACTCTGTTGTTCAGAATGTCAACTGAAATGGAAAAAAAAAGAAAAGAAAGTGAGAAATATTGGTATTGGAGTGGTTATCGAAGTAGGAGTCAGGATACTTGGTTCTCGGTCCATTTGTGTGTGTGAACCATATGCCAACATATTCCCCACTCTGAATTTCATATTCTACATCTGCGGATGTAAATTGAGCTGTTGAAAACTGTAGTGTACAATTACACTACACAATTAATACTTAAATGAAAACTGAGCTGTTGGAAATGGTCACTAAAGAGTCATCTACCATGATAGTCTGTGGTTCTCACTGAGTGCTAATGTGGACAACTGCCCTGGGTTAACAGAGAGGCACTCAGTTGTTCAAGGCGTTATCTCCACAATGCCAAAACATTCTGATGAACACCCACCCGCCCATTACTTCCTCCAACAGCCATATATTGACAAAACATATTTGATACCGTTTTGAAATATGCAAATACTAGATAAACTTTAAACTTTTTATCTGAATGTTTTGGAGCCACGCAGAACTAGCCTAAGTGTGAAATTTGGGTATGTAGTATTTTAGAAAATTACATTTTATTTTCAGCATCTGTTACATAGTGAAATGATTATGGTGGCCAAATACCTCTAAATTTTCTGATGGAATCAAGCAAAATGGAATCACCATTCCCAAACATGTTCTGGTATGAAGTTAATTATATTTGACAACTTTTGTTCGATGTGAAGCAGTCCATGAGAATCAAGCAAGTTTTACAAAACCTGTATTCTCATGTTTGGCGCTGTTCCCAAGTTGCCACTATCCCAAATGATTACCCCTGAAAACTATCACAAATAATACAGCCTCTTCAGTTATTCTGTGTATTCAAAGGTCTTTTTAAAACATTCCTTATGATCGAAGGGACCTATTTATCTAATGTGCAGTGATTTATATGCTCTGTCCAGAACAGTGAGTGTTCTGGGCCTGTGTGTCCTCAGCAGGAAAGCAACATGAGTGAGGTTCTGGGGAACTAGTTGATCGAGAGAATTAAACTGTTCCCTCCTTCAACCAAATGAAGCACTCCAGTTGTAAGAACTTCAAGCTTTCAATGACTCATGGATGCAATTCAGAATCGGTGTATTTGTTTAGTAAGTCCCTATAATTACTTAATTCATTATGATGCCTAAGAGTCTTAAGTGACTTCAAAAGTCACATGTTCCAGGTGAACGACTGCTCAAATTAAGTGTGGGCTATTACAGACCCTGGACTAGGCAAAGAGGAAATCAGAGGGGAAGGGGGGGAAATCCGAAAACAACAACAACAAAAATTACTCCAAAAAGTGCCATGATTTGAATGAAAATAATGATTAAATTAGTAAAGTATGTCACTCAAAATTCAGAACAGCTGGAGCAATTCTGATAGACTTACATGGGAAGCAACAAAGTGGCAGAATGTGGAAGTGCTGTTTTGTATAATGTCTTGGGAGAAGCATTGCTTACTGTCTTTAAGATAATCACCTCCATCAAATTGTGACAAAATTACTTTGTTTTATTTCAATAAAAAAAACAAAGTAGAAAAAATGTTAAAAGATTAAAATTCAAAAATGATCTGTGCCTTTGGCTAACAAATAATACCCCGTTAATAATGGGAAAACATTTTGGAATTTGTAAGCTCCTTGGGAAAATACAATACCAGCTGTTATTTTCATATGAAAATTGCATATTTGCTCTCCACATTTCAGTTTGGAAAATTGGGAATGCTTAAATCAAGCTCTAAGTTACAAGCAATGTCTATTAAAGAAAATATTTACCAAAGCTTTTAGCAAATGCAAATGTGTAGATAAAAGATATAACCTACAAATATTATTTATATTAATACTTAAAGAAACTTACTGTTCTACTGGTAACTTCTACATCTGTGAAACAAACATGCTGCTATTCAGTTCATCTATTGATAATGGGGGTATCTATAGTAGTGAAAAAGATTTTAGATTAAAATAGTTTCTTGAGAGAATTCCATTTATTTTGTTCACTGTGTGGACATGGTAATCAATAACTATAGTCAATATCACAGGAAACTTTAGACATATTAACCATATCCACTAATAGTTAATTTTTCAAAGAAAGCACAGGTTAGAATGTGGTTTGTTTCCCCAATAAATTAATGCTCTATGTCCCATATGGTTATCATACTTGTAACTGAAACAGCAGTGGGACTCGTCCTTAAGCATGGTTACCACTTTAATAAGGCAAAATGGCCATAACATTACCCAATAATTATTGTATCTCCTTACAATTTCAAGACTCCTCCAAAATTCATAATTTGCATTGCGACTCTGCCTATAAGTACCTAAAGCAAATGAAAATTAAAACAACAGAAGCACGTCTAATGTCAGCATGAGAATGAATTTCTGATGTAATCACTGAGTAATGATGAGCATATCTGTGCCTTGGAAAGAAACGTGTTATCTTTCTTTCCAGTAGATCTGCAAGTAAAGGTGATGACTGTACTAAGTGAAAGTTCAAATGCAATAACCAAAGATGGTAGTAAAATAAAATAAATTCTCCCCTCAACCAATGAGGGAACATCAAAACAATATTTAGTATATACATTTGAGGATTGGTGTGGTAGCAACAACTCTACATCCAGCATATCAAGAGGAACATCTGTAACTGATTAAAAATGAGACAACTCTGCCCATTCATCTCAGGATGAGTAGCAAGACGGATGCTTCCCTCCAGAATATACACAAAAATATAAGTTCTAAATGTAACAACTGCTTATAAAACACATAAGAATATGGACTGAAGTCTCTCACCAATCCAAAAAGCATATACTGTGCTTTACCAACACACTGTAGTTATTTAGGTCTGAACAGGTGAAATAAATGGCCAAACCTGATTGCCCGTAGCTGTTGCAGCGAAGGGAACGCTGGTGGCAGGTGTTGTTGCTGCAGACACAGTGGTAGGTGTAGCACCGTGCATCATGGGCACTTTCAGTAGGAAACCATGGAAGCAACACACGAGAGGGCGGAGGATTTATGCAACCATGACATAAATGATGGAATGGGGCGTGGTAGGTATCACAGCAACAAGCCACATGACGACATCATGACGGATACACCAGGGTGCAACATGCAATCACAGTCAGTGCAAAGCAACACAGCATGGAAGGGGGAAAAATTTCAAAAGAGAAAAGGGGAAAGCCAATTATAGTTACCATTAAGGAAAATGGAATCATTCTCAACATTTAGTTTTTGAGCAGAATCACACTGTCATTGACTTCAAAGGCCAAATTTTCAGAAGGGATGACAATAGATGTCTATGACAAATCTGATTTTACCAAGGCTATCTGAATAGCTAGTCAGGCGGACAAGGAACTGTGTTGCACATTCAAAATGGGAGTCAGGAACTGGTGTCTGGGTTCACTCACTCATGACAGACATGAGTGCTGTCACTTGATTTGCAGATGCAAACGGGCGGTTTTATATATATATATAGATAGATAGATATATGTGGATATATACTTACCTGATCTGCATGCAAATAAAAATGGTAGTTCGATTGGTGGGTATATGGTAGGGGAGCAGATATGAAGACTACGGTGGTCTATGCATGCAGGTTTCTAAGCACACCTCTGGCAAGCCCCTTGGAAACATAGGCTATTTATGAATCAACTTAGGCTATTTGTTTATTGTTTCATAAACAACCTAACTTTCCAAGGGGGTGCTTCATAGTAAATGTCCGACAACATCCTGTCTTCATTGCAAATATTACAGCTACAATGGCCAGCAGCTGCAACATCTCTTTTGGGATGATTTCTCTTTGCCTTTTCTAGTTTCTATGTCATTTTGAAAGCTTTTGGGATGCTTTTCTTATTTTGAGCTCATTTTGGAAAGCAAACCAAAGAATTAATATTTAAATGGTAAGCATGCGTAGGTAATAACTGACATCTACATCGATTGAATTCAGATTTTCGGCCAGTCTACAGAGAAAGTGAACAGCCTGGAGAGAGGACAATCATCCCATGCGATATCATAGGAAACACAAATGTACCCCAAATGGTGATTAACAGAAACTCTGGTTATCTCTCCTGCCCATCTCTGGTTATCCATTACCTATAGACAGCCCTCACTGTATCACATGCCAACTTTGAAAACACCCTTGTTTTCCCTCGGTGGGTGCAACAGCTACACAGGGCGGCAGCAGCACTGAAGCATGCAGTTTGCATTCCTACACGGAGCCCTTCAGGGAAAGGGCAAGGGAGCAGAGTCACAAAATGTGAAGACAGAGACACGTTTCACCAACTTCCCAAAGTCTATTCTTCTAATCATATGCATATAATGCTTCTGTTAGTATCAATGGAAATGTTTTTCATTCCTACAGGGCAAAGCCAGTATCAGAGGCCTCACCTACCAGTGAATGCTACTACTCTGTGGTTGCCATTTTGACTTTTTTTTATCTTGGTAATCCTGTTTGTCCCTTTTGGGCTCTGCGTCTACTTTGGTTGACCAGTGGGATGGAGGCTGAGCTGTTGCAAACTCTCAAAAAGGACGAAAGAAACTGGACTGAGATGAGATGGCAGGGTGAGGTGGGATAGTTCCTCCCTGTATCAAACAGTGCTATTTTCCCCTGGTGTGTTGCTGGGGCCTATGGGAACTACAGGAGCTGTGAACTCCCCAGGCGTTCTGAGAGGGAAACAAGTCACTTTCCTTGTCTTCTTCAGTATTAGTGATGTACAAAATGGTTTCAAGATGGCTACCATATCGTACTGGTGGCTGATTAAAGGATATGTGTGTAACTGATTATTTAAAAAAACACATACCCTACAAAGAGTCATTCTGAAATGATTCTGATGTGCCTGGTTTCCATGCAGATGGCATTTCATCCCAGCACACTACAGAAATCCTCACAAATCACTACAGGATGCTCTAGCTTTGCTTAACTCACCCTTTCGCAACATCTGAGTATTGAATGATTTTGACCTTAAGGATAACTTGTTTGGGGAGGAATCATTTCTTAGTGATAGATGTGAAGTTAAGAACAAAACTGCCCTTTCTGGCTAGATAAGGAAATGTTTTGAAATATTTCAGCTGCAATTTTGGGGGTGAAAACAGAGAAGTGGCAGGGTATTTGGCCACAGTGGCAACCAACTAGGACTCACAGTGTAAGCCGATTACGACTCCACAAAAACAGACCACACCATAGTAAACCTTAAATACTCAGAAAATGTCCAGCCACATCACTCACTCACTCATCCCTTTCACAGTCACAACAGAAAATCACTTTTCTTCAGATTAGAAAAAGTTGAGAATTTTTGTACAAAACCTACCAATACTTGAAGCGGGTGCCATGCACAGTATTGGCCCTGCACACCATGCAGAAAAGCGTGAAAAGTAAAGAAAACAGAGATTTTATTATTAAAGCTTTACTGATAGAGATAATTTTTAACTAGAAAGATATTCTCAGCAATATCAATTAATCAGCACATGCAAATCCAGTAATCTCCCATGCTTACAATTACAGCTGAGTTTTAAGATTACAAGCCCAAGTAATCAAAGTAATTCTTGGATTCTTAGGTATGAAAATGAACATTGATCTTTTTCTTGAAAGTCATTATCTCACTTAAATGACATGTGTTTTGGACAAATGCATCCTAAATGAGTTTTATTATGAAACGGAGAGTTTTAACCAACTGTGTTTAATCAACACATATGATTTTCAAAATATGCACCAGGATGTGGCCCCTCATGCCAGTAAGTTTTACTTAGACAACTAAGCTATCACCATTGCCTCCTCCACCTCGCAGCCAAGGACTTCATTAGAACATCTGGCAAAGAGGCTTTTCATCCAGAAAGTGCTCTCAGCCTGACAGGTTTTTATTTTGCTATTAATCACAGGGAAAGGGATTCTTCTGATATTTCTGCTTATAAATCTAGACTTTAAATCCAGCAAAAAAAAAAGCCAAAAAATGATAAAATTGTGTTTTTGAAATGATATCCTGAAGACTACTGTAGTTAGTAAATAGACAAAAGACTGGTTTTTTATGGCTTCTTTCAAAATGAATTAACTGATTAATGTATCAGTTAACCAATGGGTTTCTTCAAGTCCAGGTATACAACATTATGTACTTAGTATGTTTATATAATTAACAAGGTTTCTAAATTAATTTTTAAAGCATGTCATTTTCATTTAATAACAATTTCCAAACTGGGGCATTTATGATTCTGATCAAAAAAAAAACCTACCATATTCCCAGGGGTTAGTAGTTTCAACTTATTCCCAAGAGACTATAAGCTTGTTCTTAAAGTATTGAACCACTAGAAGAAAAGTATTTCACTTCATCTGATATTTATTTGAAAAAAATTATGGCTTAAATTTTTCTTTTCAATTTAGTGCAAAACAGTTATGCTATTAAATATAGTTGAATGTAAGAGGTAATATAATATGCCACAAAGTATCAGGAAAATATGATAAATGGCTATATATTTTATATTAACTGGTTTAAGAGTTAGAGGCTAAAGACAGTTGTTTTTATATATATAATATACTGTATTGTCCTATAAGTTTAAGGGTAGTTTTATTATAACTATCTTTGGCATATCAAAAATATATAGACTCCCTACTTCTGTAATGCTGAAGCTCAGAAACTTTTTTTCTGAGCGCAGACCATTGTCTTTGAAAGTGATACCTAAGAGTCAAGGAATTAATTTGAGGTCGAAACAAGTGAATCAAACATAAGAAGCAACAATTAAGAAATGCTAAAAAGAAAAATGTTGAAGAGTTTGCTAGTTGGATCGCAAACCATCAACTGTCAGGAATCACTGATACACAGTTTGTTCTCTATACAAGGAGATCAAGCATCACTGCCTTGTTTTATTTCTAATCAAAATACCTGCTGATAGCCCTCACATAAACACTCTTTGAAAGCTGGCATGGTGCATTGTATTCATTCGCAACATCACTCAACTCATGGTGCCCAGAGCCCTGTTCTCACCTGCAGGGATGAATGCCGGCTGTGGGAGCTGCAGGTTAGCCAGAGCCTGTTGGCAGTGGAAAACACTGGGATTAAAGACCGGGGTGGCACCATTGGTCTTTTCAAGCGCCGATCTCTTTGGTATCAGTTGAACTGCACCAGGCTGGAGGGCCTGTGAGAGAAGGATGGATTAATAAGTAGTACCAAAGAAAGTAAAAATATATACTCCAACCAAGCCAGCAGCAGTTAGAGAAAGTCTGGCCTGGCTACCCTTGGCCAGGGTACCCATGAGCAAGGTCACCAACCGCAGTTACATCAGTGCACTCCATGAGTACATACTTAGTCCAAAACAGGAAATAAACATACGGAGGAAAAGGGCTTTTCAACTTCACTAATTTAGACAAATGATAATAATTTTTTAAAAAAAGTATCTCATCATTTGGGCAGGATGTGACAAGAAGCTGTTAATAGCAAATAATCATTTACAATTAACATCTCACGGATGCTCATCTATTAAGCTATTAAAATGAGATCAGCAGAAGCAATAGAGCAGGAAAGAGATTTCTGCCAGTTAAAATTTCCATATAGATCTAGGAAATAAATGGTATATAGGTGAAAAAAAAGATGTCAGTAGATCAGAGTGTGATTCTGTAACTCCAAAAATCCAATTGATACAAGGACTTCAGGTCCAAATCCTGTAACTATAGATTTCCCAACTAACGTGTAAGGAAAAAGTAAATGAATGAATCCTCCCCCACCAGCCACCTCACCCAGATACCTTAGATAGTTAGCAAGATGTATGCAATTCCCAATTACATAAACATTCCAGTTTCCAGTATGTATTCTTTGCTTTGTTAAGGCTGGGTAAAGTTTAATTCTAAAACCTCTTGGCATTTAAAAATCCTCCTTTCATGCCTACAATTCTTTTAAAATCCCACTGTGCCTGTAATATTCAGTCAAATCTGTCCTGGGATCAGATTCATGGGAGAAATCTGACATTACATTTTTTTCTCAGCAAATTGCCCAGGACTTTAGAAACTTGTCCCAGCAACAACAGTTTGGTATGCTTCTAATTCTTAAGGAGACAGGCACACTTAGGCTGTGTAACTAGCCTTTCACATGCCCAAAACGGGCATGCATGGCCCCCTGATTCCTGTGGATAAAGAAGGCCTAACGGTATCTCTGTTTTCATTTGGGAACTAAATATCCCCCCAAGTCTTCTTTTAAATGCACACAAACTGCTTTCGGTGAAGTTAACCTGAGCTATGCACACAAATATGAACCAGGTAAAAATCTCTCTTTTACAAAGCATTTCAGCTCTGAATCCTTAAAATATAGAAAGCTCACACTTCTTTGTGAAGCCTCCTTTACTTAATCTTGCCTCAAACAAATTTCTACGGGCCAATGTGACTTTGCCTTTAAGACTGTGCTCTGATCAGTCACTTGGAAAGGAATTTTATATTGACGTTCAAAAGTACCAGTTGAAGGCCTACTATATAGTATTTAACTCTCTTATATGGGAATTTGGGGCTGACTTACATGCATTCTATCAAACACACCCAAATCATCAGAAACGGACACATTCATATTAAGGTCCCATAACTGAGAATGGAACAGGAACACAACGTCACAGGCAAGCTGTTCCTTGTACGTCCCATGCATATGAGAACCTTTATTTTTAGGGGAACAACTGTATTCCTCTCCTTTATGATAAGTCCATGTTGTTTTTGAACTCTATGCCATCAACAGAAATAACCTAACAATTGGAGGCTTAAAATTCTGCCTTGAATATTCTCGATACCTTCCTATTTTCATAGCTTAAAATTTCCTCATTTAAAAGAATTTATGACAAAAAATATTTGGTGAAGTCTTTTTTTTTTTTTACCATTTGTTAACAGATTCTATTGTCTAGATCAAGGGAGAAAGTAAGTTTGTTGTACTTTGATACTCAGATCTTTCCTGAAGTCATGGGTTCAGTTCTGAGAGAGCAGGGATTTTGAGAACATAGAGCAAGTCCAAAACTGGTGCTGTATCGTTCAAGCCATAATTTAATAAGAAAAGTTTGGAGAAACTTGGGGTATTTGGCCCAGACAAAGAAGATGACAATCATGCTCCTATGAAATAGTGATTGACTTATTTTTTTGTAATAAAATAAGTGTAAGTTCCAGTTCTAGAAAGGTAGATTTCAACTCAGTATGAGGAAAGACTTAATAAATAGGGATGTTTGAAAAGAAATGGATCTTTCTCATGAAAAGGAAAGGTCTCTGTCATGGGCTTCAGGGTCCTGGAGGTGACTTTTTTCCACAGCTGGGAAAAATGAGGTTTCCTTAGGGTTTTGTTCCTTATTGTGGTTATACCCTATGACACAGATCCCAGGCGAAAAGAAAAAAATGAATAGCACACAGCCTATCAAAATAATTGAAACTGTGACGAACTTATTAAGTAATCATAATTCCTATTTCTCAACCTATCACACTATATATAGTGTTACACAAATACTCTTCCCACCTCCTACCTTTCTGGGTTAAGTAGGACTAAGATTTCCCCAAAACAGACTTGCTAGGGCAACTCAATAGGCAGGCTTCTCCCCATCATGTAGAAATACCGCCCGCCCCCCCCCCGCCCTAGCCTTGCCTGGCTGCTGCCTTGAAATCATTAACCTTTGGGAAATTAGAACCTATTTCCCACTCTATCCTCCAAGTCCTGTTTTCAAAAGGCATTAAGGATCTTAACCAACAAAGTACCCCGGAAGGTAGCTCTCAGGGCAGAGAGGCAACTTTCTGCCTTTTTAGGATATAAAGGTTAGTTAGGCTATAAAAGCTACTCAAAAATAATTTGCTGTTTAACTTGTACTCTTTCTCAAAAAAAAAAACAGGAGAAAAGGCACAGTAGGTTAAAATCATTAGTAGAGCTTTTAAGTAATTATCTTTAGAAAACGTTAGTGAATGAATTAGAATAAATAGGTTTTCTCTTTTCCAGCTCATAACCTGGGCTATTCGTTTTAAGGCCCACTCATGACTATTCAAGACTGTGGTCAGAGGAAATTGGACAAAATGAGTTCTATATTAATCCTTTACCCCCAGACAGGAGGTCCACGCATCCTGGCCTGTTCTTACCATTGCTGTGGCAGCCGAATGGTTCATCTGGTGATGAGCTGCCTTGAGTTTGGCTTGCAGGTGTGCAGGAGGATGAAAGTACTTGCATTTCTCCCGGGAGCATCGACCTTTGATGTAATCCATGCAGATCGTCACGGTATTATCACTTGTCTCGATCATGGAAACATCCGTAGGGTGAGCATAGCGACAATCATTCTCACCACGAGTACAATTTCCACGCTGAAATTCACGGCAAACCTTAAAGAAAAAAAATCACATTGATGCCTGGTAGGTGATTAGCTTTTATTTATTTTGCCAGGGAATGTAAGAGCAACAGTATACATTCTTTTGTCATCTGTTTAGGAAAAATGTTACAAGCTGAAGGCTAACGTCAAGCCATAGTCACTATGAGATGTAAACATACAACTTCTATTCCAAGAAAAAAAAAATATCCATGCTTCCCAAAGGGAAAGTCTGTCTGGTTTCCTTACAATGAAATAACAGTATTGTTGAAAACCAATTTTTAATCCTCCACTTGACGCAGCCTCATCAGCTAAGTTTGCAAGAGGAGGTTATTTTGTGAAGGTCCAAGATGTGTTTATCACGCAGCCATGTGCTTTTGCTCAAGCATACATGTGGACCATAGGACATGTACAGATTCCATTAGGATACATGGCAAGACATTTAAGGAGCGGCCAATGGAGCTGACTTTGTAAGAAATCCACTTGTTATTTACTCCAATTTATGAAGAATAATGTAGTTTGAAGGAGTTCTATAGATCAAAAAGCCATTTAAAATTTCTTTTTAGGTTTCCTTTCCTTAGGCATCAAGAGATACTTATTGTCTAGTACATCATTCTTAAAACAGAGAAAAAGGTTTAGACCCTATGAGACTCCTTTACATTCTGCATTCATAGATAGTTAATTCGTCAACTTTTTTTTCAGCTTGATTATTCTAGCAAGTAGCCATTCATCAACGAATACAGTAATCCCAGTCTGTAAAGCTGGAGCCGGGTGTAAAAGGAGCATTCCCACCAGACTTTCTGTGCCATAGCAAAGGAGATGAGGCCCAGTCTGCGGCTGGTCACGCTAAGATGTTGTTTGACCTACTGTACAACTGAATCAGTGTGCTTCATAATGGGGTAAAATTACAGGAGTAAAACGTTTAACATTTTTCTGAGGTTATATTCCGTAAGTGGAAAATCCAGATGCACTTATTGAAAGCATTCAAAACACTGGACTCTAAGAATGTTCATGCATAAAGTTCATATCTACACTATAAATATTTATCTATTTCTACACAAATACCTCCAATTTATCTGAACGCATCAGTTTTGGACCAGCAGCTCCTGGCAATCCGAGAGGCGGGTTTCCAGAAATCAGAACAGGTGCATTTGGTAAAAGTTCGGCAGGGACCAGGCCCATCCCAGGATGAGGTAAGTAAGGACTGAAAGCCATGGCAGGATTAGCTGCAAGTGATGGAGTCACGGGAAAAGAAGTCTGTATGATTAAAACAGAAAATAAAAAGTATTAGAGGTAAATAGATTAGTCCTGACTTTTTTTTTTTTTGGTGGTGGTGGTGGTGGGGAGGTAATTAGGTTTATTTATTTTTAATGGAGGTACTCGGGATTGAACCCAGGACCTTGTGCATACTAAACATGCACTCTACCTTCCCCTATACCTACACCTTCCCCTCTGATTAGTCCTATTATTACACAAGGAAGCATTCTGTGAAAAAGCCTAAGCCATATCAGAATTTACCATTGTGTCTTCTGATTTATTTTTAGTCTCATATTAATTCCCATGTAGGAGTTGCTTTTAAACCAACAAATCTCCTTGAGTAACTAATTTATTGGTAAGCTGAGGAACCAAGCCACATAATTTTACCAGTCATGAGTTAGCTGAATTAAACCCCATTGATGGAGTCTTTTCCAGATGTGTTTTCTCTAGCACTTCCCCTTTTACCTAAAAACCACGTCACCAATGATATCATATATGTGGGCACTCTGCCCGGTCTCCTCACACAGGCACGGCCCCCTGACAGCCCCCCTCATCCCACCCTCCTCCTTCCCCGTGCTCGGCGGTACTGTTTGGCTCCAAAGCTTCCTGTCCTACCATGGTCCCACCTGCCCTACCAAACGCATGCTTCTCTTCTTGACCGACTATCAATTGTGGAGGACAGTAAGGAGGGAGGAAGAAAGGGATAGATTTTAAAAAGTGAGAGCTTTAACAACGTCTTGCTGTCTACCTAAAATGAAATTGGTTTGGTCGTGTTTTTTAGCAGTCCTGTTTCACAAACTCATCTGACTCGCCTAGCCTCGTCTTTATCTAGGGAACCAGATGACATGTGCAGTTTAAAAGGGGGCCCTAAAAATGCTACAAGGATCCCTATTAAGCAAGAAGAGATAAGGTAACAGGATTACAAGGTACATACCCTAGAGTATAACTTGTAAAGAAAAGTCTTAGAAGTACAAAGGGCTCTTACTGGTTTTTCTATTTTTTAAAAGTCCTGATCTCATAGAGTTTGATACATGTATTGCCTTTATTATCTGTAAAGCACATAATTTATCACTTTATTGTGCTGTTTTCCAGTTTGTTCCACATGTGGGTGTCTTTTCTTCTCAATGTGGTCATACTGTCTTTGATAGTTCTCTTGTCTCTCCTATAGTACCCAGTATATAGTGAATGATTGTCTGATATAATCAATGCCATCATTTAAAAAGAAATTTAAACATTTTAATGAATTAATAACAAATCATGATTAAATGTAGTACATATCTTTTTTTAGGTTTAGTTGATTTACAATGTTGTGTTAGTTTCTGGTGTACAGCACAGTGATTCAGTTATACATATATATTCTTTTTCATTATAGGTTATTACAAGATATTGAATGTAGTTTCTTGTGCTATACAGTTAAGACCTTGTTTATCTCTTTTATACACAGTAGTTTGTATCTGCTAATCTCAAACTCCTAATTTATCCCTCAGCCACTGTTTTCCCCCTTCAGTAACCATAAATTTGTTTTCTATGTCTGTGAGTCTGTTTCTGTTTTGTAAATAAGTTCATTTGTATCATTTCCTTTTAGATTCCACACATAAGTGATATCATATGCTATTTGTCAGACTTACTTCACTTAGTATGATAATCTCTAGGCCCATCCATCTTGCTGCAAATGGCATGATTTCATTCTTTTTTATGGCTGAGTAATATTCCATTGTATGTATATACCACTACTTATTTATCTAGTTATCTGTTGATGGACATTTAGGTTGCTTCCATGTCTTGGCTATTGGAAACAATGCCACTACGAGCACTGGGGTGCATGTATCTTTTTGAACTAAGAGTTTCCGCTAGATTTATGCCCATGAGTGGGATTGCTGGATCATATGGTAAGTCTATTTTTAGATTTTTAAGGAAGCTCCATACAATTTCCCATAATGGCTGCACCAAACTACATTCCCACCAGCAGCGTAGGAGGGATCCTTTTTCTCCACACCCTCTCCAGCATTTATCATCTGTGGACTTTTTAATGACAGCCATTCTGCCTGGTGTGAGGTGATACCTCATTGTAGCTTTGATTTGCATTTCTCTGGTAGTTAGTGATACTGAGCATCTTTTCATGTGTCTACTGGCCATCTGTATGTCTTCCTTGAAGACATATCTATTTAGGTCTTCTCCCCATTTTTCGATCGGGTTGTTGTTGTTCTTCTAGTTTTTGTTATTGAGTTGTATAAGCTGTGTGTATATTTTGGAAATTAAGCCCTTGTTGGTCGCATGATTTGCAAATATTTTCCCCTAGTCTGTAGGTTGTCTTTTTGTTTTGTTTATGGTCTCCTTTGTTGTGCAAAAGCTTATAAGTTCAATTAGGTCCCATTTGTTTATTTTTACTTTTATTTCTATTGCCTTGGGAGACTGACCTAAGAAAACATTACTACGAATTATGTCACAGAACATTTTGCCTATGTTTTCTTCTAGGAGATTTATGGTGTCGTGCAAGTCTTTAAGCCATTTTGAGTTTATTTTTGTGTATGGTGTGAGGGAGAATTCTAACTTCATTGATTTACATGTGGCTGTCCAGTTTTCCCAGCTCCACCTGCCGAAGAGGCTGTCTTTTCTCCATTGTATATTCTTGCCTCCTTTGTCAAAGATTGATGGACCATAGGTGTGTGGGTTTTAAATATAGTGCATTTCTAATCGTGACTTTATAAGGTAGGTCGTGCATTGCTGTGTAACTGGCAATCTCACTCTGTATTACTAATAGCATGTGTTCCTTCTTGCTTTTTCTTTCACTAAAAAAAAAAATGAACCTTTTGCACTGCTAAGCTGTGCCCACACCTTCTGCTATATCACATTAATAGGAACAGCTCTAAATGCATGTAGAATAGGAGGCTGTGGAGTAAGACGTGAGGAGCAATTTATATTCATGGTGCCACCCCCTAGACAGACTTGAAATTTTCACCAGCACAGCATTCTCTGTGAAACCCCTCTCGTAAACCACATTCAACTTGGAAGGAAGGGTTTCCCCATTAGCACTCTACCTTAGGTGAGTGTATCAAATTAGCTACTTGGCACATTAGGAAGGACAGAAAGAACATGGGCCCCCCAAAACTGGTAAGGCTCTCTAGGGTAAGTAGAGAAGGCATGGTGGCCAAGAGCTTTAAGGGGAAAGAGGTGACACCAGGTGGCAGGAAAGAGGACGGGGCAGTCAAGGAGGGTGCTTTAAGGTTTGAGGACAAAAGCCAAGGGCTGACCCAGCCTAACTAGGCACTGTGATGCAACAGGCTGTAGGGACATTTCATACTTCTTGTTGAATGGGCTGTGAAGCTCTAGGAATTAGTTGATGTGATAGTATAATGAGATAAGGCCGACTTTATCAACTTGATGATTCATGGTTGTTTCAAAATTAGCAAGAATTTCTAATGGTAAAAACTCCATATTTGAACCACACAACAGTACTCTTTGTTTGACTTCTTTTTCCTCTGTGATCTTCAGAATCAATTTTTCCCCATCCTATTCTCCTTGCTTCTGCCTTTTGCTTGCCACGGAACTGAGAAGAACCCTTACTACATTTCTTAAAAAACTATTGACTTAAATGAAAAACTTGCAGGTGAGTGGTCCAGATTAAAACATTATGAATCGCTAATAAATACTGATCAATGAAGAATATTTAAGAACAATGTACATGTAAGCAGTGCTTCCTATTTATAATAGCTCTCAGCTTCCATATTTTTTTTCCTTCCTTTTTTGGGGGAAATTTTCCTGGCTAACTTCTGCTTTCTTTCGAATATATTTTAACCTTCTTGGGTTTGTTATATGTTTCAACTGTATGAAAGCAAGCTGTAAATTAATTAAACGTGTATGTAAAAAGGGCTTGCTGAAAAAGTTTAGATTTTGTAAGGTTTCACCACAAACTATATTATGACATCTTTAGGTTTTAAAATTAGTACTGTAACTTTTGTGACCATTTCCTCCTTAGTATAAGCTTCATTCTATAACACGGTTTATTCAGAAGAAGTGAATTCTTCTAGTCCCAACCCTTGGGGCACAGGAAGGTAACTGCTGAGTTTCTTATTTATTTTCAAATGGACATTGCTGTTCCTCACCACCACCTCTGCCCCAGGGTAACTACTCCATTTTCAGGAGTTTGAACATTCAAGGGCTTAGCTTTAGCTAACAGGCACCTGTTAAATCAAGCAGCCTGTAAGTTCACACATTCAATTTTAATAAGTAACTTTAATCCTTCCTATACCTGTACTGCAGCCCTTGATGTCAGCTGAGCTGACATGAACCAATCTGTGGGGTAATCTTGAGTCTAAAGAAAAAGGTTCTTTGAATCTGATTTCTTTTTATAGACTGAAATGGTCTGGGGACTTAAATATGTTTCAGATATTCACTCAAACCTAAATTATTTACTAAATATTTTGAAACCCTAGAACCAGGGTTATGGATTTTCATCTTTCTCTGAGTTTTATAAAACCAACAAGAATGGTGGCAACAACTGGCTATATGCATAGAAAGATCACCTAGATGGTTATTTATCCTTCATGTCTCTAACAGCATTCGCTGCTAGGATAGGAATTCCCACGAGCTACCAGTTATTTGCACCCTACCTAGGAACTATCAGGGCCTTGGGAAATGCTTTCTAAAATTCAGTGAATTGTCTCTAGAACAGTGGAACCTAACCTTTTCTGAGTCCTGGATTTATCTGAGAGTCTGATGAAAGCTGTGGACCCTGTCCATGGAAAAATTCATGTGTGCACAAATTGCATGTCATCTCAGGAAGTTCAAGGACCTCATGAAACTCACCCCTGGGGTACGGTTATGGACTACTTACTGTTTAAGAGCTTGTGTTCTAGGGTACCGGTTGGCAAACCACAGCCCCTGAGCCAAATTCAGCCTCCCCTGTTTTTGTATGGCCAGAATGGTAAAGATGGTTTCTACATTTTTAAATGGTTGGGAAAAAGTAAAAGATGAATAATATTCCATAACACATGAAAATT